TCGCGCCCCCCCTGCTCCACAACCTCTCCTGGGCTCAGGCATCTCCTTCCCGACGTGGGTTTCTCCACAGGCCACGAGTGGGTCTCTGCTCCGCCAAGTACACCCTGGCTGCAGGGGGGCCGCCTGCCATCTCACACCGATTTGCAAGGGAAAACTTCAGCTCCAGTACACCTCCTCCTGCTCCATCTTGACTGACCTGGTCGTTGTGGTTGTTTTCTCTTAGATCTTAATCCTCTCTGGGGGAGCTCGGCCCGGCGGGCACTCCGGGAGCAGGGCTCTTCCCGAGTTCCCCCATGCGGCTCCCCCGGCGCCATCTTGAGCCTGTGGTGCCGGCCCAGGCCTGAGCAGCCGCCCGGCTGGGGGCCAGGGAGCAAGGGCAGTGCCCTCGTGCCCTCTCCTCCTTCCTGGGCCCAAAGACCCTTTCCCGCCCCTTTGTCCCAACTTAAATAGGGCAATTCGCAGAGGTGCCGATTTGGCTTAACCCCCCGGGGGGGATGGGACTCAGATCTGGTGGCACAGGGAGCAAATCCCCTCTCCTGCCACCAGAACAGCCCCCCACATCAAACTATCACACAAGTTTACACCAGCTATGACCCCATTGTTTAATGTTTATTAACAGAGTAATGATTTTCCAAAGTAACTTCCCACATTTTTCATTTCAGAACAAAGTCACAGAAAAGAAGGTTTGAGGAGGAACTGAATGAGAGGATGATCCAGGCCATTGATGGAATCAATGCTCAAAAGTATGTTTTTATCCTCTGTTGTCTGTTTTCTTCAACTTTGACATAGATCTGCAACAGAGGGTAGTATTTACTATTTCTCGCTCCCACACGCACACGCAAGTCTGAAAACAGTAAAGGTGTCTCTAATACTGGCATAGGAAGCTCTGCACATTGTGGAGAAGGGCTGTATAGTAACATTTCCTACTATATGGGATAAGACAGTGCCTGCGAATCATGGTGTGATGGAGGTTTTGGCGTGTCTTGATCTTCATGGGAAAGGGATTTTTGCTGTGTAACTTTGGATCTGTACACTCATAGCTGTAACTACAGAATTATCTCATCTGAAAGCAGAGAAGACACAAGAAATAGCTGGCTCAGGAATCAGAATGACGTGAAAATCGATGCTTCACAATTATCAATCACAGAAACATCTCCTCAGAATTATAAACTTTCCCAAAAATCATAGTTTCATATATCTTTGTTTCAGCTGGTTAGCTGATTTCTTAGAGAAGACCAAGCTTGATGGTATATTGAAATTGTTGGAGGAGGCAACGTGGCCTGTATTTTTCCTGTGTCCTAGGAAGAGCTGGAGGCAGTATTGATGTTCTCCGTTTGCTGGTGAATAGACGAGACTGAGAGAAAAATCAATACCAGTCTAAAATAAGTGTTCAGGTTTCTTTTATTTATCTGATGAAATAAGGGAATTGCCCTTCAAAAATGTGGACAATAATTGTGATGAATTACATGTTTTCCTCCCTACTTCTGTTACTCAGAATCTTAATCAGCTGAATATTACACCTAATTATTAAATGCTCATATGTCACATTTGGTTTTTGGTATCTGATAGTCCTATTAAAATGTACTTGACTTTAGGTAAATGTTTTTTCAGATATTGTTTGTAGAAAAGAATGTTGATAGCTATAGGTCATTCAAAGAATACAGTGAAAGAGGGTGGGTCATGTGATAGGCAAAGCCTTTTGGTTATACTAGACTTGCCTAAACCAGCTATGTAAATTTTGGCAGTTTTTGTGTGTCTTCAGATACACTCGCTCTGATAAGTGGGTTGGAAAAACAATGGTTTGATGTCAAAAGTGAATCATCTGTGTAAATGCATTAAAATACAGTATTGGTATGACCATACTGTATGTTGTTTTATCTCAGAGAATCCCTGTCTTATGTAAGTAGCGCATTAAGTTCAGAGAAACTTGGGGATCAAAGAGGTTTGTGTGATTTCGGGAAAAGTTTCAGTGCATTTTGTGAATTACGTGGGGAATTGCAGAAAGATAAGGAATGATGCTATATATCAGAGAGGCTGAATGCCACTTTCCAAAACTAGATTCTCTATCTATCCCTATATTGATTTGTTGAGTGAATCACTTAAATGATATTACTCAGTTGGGTACCCAACAATAAGTTGTCAAATGCTGATTCTCCAAACAGCAAGTTAATTCAATAATATTTTACCTATGTGAATACTAAGCCCCCAGAAAAAATAGATAAAAGATTTCCTACATTTAGGACACAAAACTAATCACATTTTTGCTTTCTTTATAATTGTTCAGGTTTTTTATGCCTCAATTTTTCAGCCGTAAAATGAAAACAACACTACCAACTAATCTAATGGAATGGTTGTGAAGCTAAATCTTTTGCTTTTGTGAATCCAGAAGCAGATTTTTAAGAAAATCTATGAGAAAACTGGTATTTCTAAGTGGTTATAAGTGTAAAGTTTGGATTGTATAGCAGATAGGTCTGTGACTGAATAAAGGAAATTAAAAAAACATTATTGCACATAAAATGTGATATTTAAATTACCATTCTTTTAACCTTTTTTAATTAGAAAATGGCATGAAAATAATTCAAGAGCAAACACTAATTGTACAGAGCCATTGTTTCTTCCACCCAGAGCTGTCAGGATGGTCTGACTTTTTCATCCACATCATGGTTCTTTGCCATGTGTCATTCTGTGAAAAAAGTAACTGATTGCAAACAAATGGTCCTCTGCGTGGGTCTTTGGACGTTGCATGCCCGGGTGTTTAACAGCCAGTAACTGGAAGATAAGACAATGTGGAGTCTGGATCTTCTTAGTCCAAGACAAAGCTGTAGTCCAAACGAATCACTGGTTTTACATAGTGTAAAATAGCGCAGAACATACTGAAAAGGGAGCTCAGGTTTTTAAAGCAGAGTAGCGTTTTATCAGGACACCCTCACTCACTGCTGTCCTGCTGGTTCCCAAGCTAGATTGGCTATCTTCCCACAAAACTGCCAAGTGCCACATGCACACCCTGTCACTAACTCGGGGCATCTGGGTTCATTTCCTTCTTCTGGAATGCAAATGAAACTGTGGCATCTAAAAAGTAATCCACTGACCGTGATTCAGAGCAGTAGATTTAGTTGGCACTGCTCCTTGCAAAGTTGCATGAGGAAAGTTGTGACCTGTTTATTGATTGTTATTCCATTAGAGCACTACATTAAAAGATATGTAAATACAGATTTAAAAGAGCAAGTGAGGAACAAAGAGCTTCTGTATCTTAGCTGAGTGCCTTAGACATTAGGGTGTTACATCATACTTTCTCCACATGTTTCTTTTCCCTGTACCTTGAACAGAGTATTCCTGGCTGCAAAGTGCCCATCCTGCACAGGAGGGGGATGAGAAGCCCTACCTATGCCACTGCTAATCTTGGTGGTTAGGGGACCTCTGTAGGACATGTGATGGATGGATAGCAATCTGCTAGCTAAACATGTACCTACAGAGGGAGCTAAACGAAAGTGATTTGTTCTTTGATAAGAAGGTTACTGTGTTAAAGAGACACACTCTTTTTCCTCTCTCCTTTCTTAAGTCATGGTGGCTGCTGTGTTCTGTGCATAATTCCTTGCTGCACATTGTCAATCAGTACAAGCCCTATCAAACCACATACCTCTGTGGATACAGGCAGAACTCAGCTGTCTGTGTTGTTCCTTGAATTGCAAAAGAATTTAAACAGAAATTTGGCACCTAGCTTCCCAGGTGGCATATCCCCATGGTCTTGCAGATACTTTGGTGACTTTTAGGCTCATCAGGGAGTCAGACCGTAGGCAGAATTATTCAGCCCTTATCTCTATGCCAAAGGTGTGTGACTTTGCACTCGCACTTCTGTACTTTCCACTTCCACTTGTTTGTGTTACAGTTTCCCTCATCTGGGGAAGACCTCTTGGCACCTGCTATCTAAAACCAGTATAGTTTTGTCCAAGCTTTAAATTAGATCTAAAAGCTCCTGAAAACGTGAGTTTGTAATGTAGAGCATGAGGCAGCATTTACTCTAAATGTCACTACTGACTTCACATGCGATCAAGTGTGTACAGACCGAATTAGGCCTTTGGGAGTAGATCTGCAGACAGAACTTTTTAGCAGTGTGGTAATGGTAATTAAATCAATCCGCCTGTCAGATACCATAAGAAAAAGAAGGAAATTAGTTAACATTTTGGAGAAGAGAGTTACTTTTTGTTCTATTATTATAACTAAATGGAAAAAGACTTGCACTTTCATAGTTTGCCAAAAACGTTCCTCAAACTGAATGTTTTCTCCAGTAGATTACAGCTGGACCCAAACAAAATCATGCTATATGTACAAAGTCTGTCATACCTGTTTCTCTCAGAATCCTAACTCTGATCAGATGCAGATGTGAGCCATTGCAGAGCAAACTGGGAAATAGATTTTTTAAATTAAACATACCTAGAACTGAATATATTTTCAGCCCCTATATATAATGAAACTGATTCCACAGGAACAGGTACAGACTCCTAGGCAAGGAAACAAATATTTTATATTTCACGAATCAAAGCTAATAGCTTACACTCCACTCTGTCCATTCCTGTTCTCCTAGAATCTTAATTTGGGATATATTCCACTGTGGTTCATTACTGCTACTTATTTTCATTGCAGCCTGTCAGTTGAGACATTCCCTTTTATTTAGAAGGCATTAGCTACACTACTAGCTTAGAGCCTAATTTAAAGTTATTGCTGGAAAACTTGCAAAAATATCTCAAGCCCTGCTTTTAATGTTCAAGCTCAAATAGTACATGTTCACAGAAGTAGTCTGCTTAAATATCTTTTTCAAATTTGTCAAGTCCCCATGAGGTGCAAGGAACCTAACCCTCTTGAAATTTAAATGTTCTGTTTCTTTTCAAGTGGCCATTAAAATAAATGTAGACTTTCATATTAGAACATTTCATTTGGTAAAGTTATGTCAAGCTGTTGTCAAGTTCGCTTTTGAAATAGATTTGTCATTTCAATGCAAGTACTTATTCTATTTTGTGTTTCTCATCTTTAAGCAGGGAAGAAGCTTTTATAATCAGTAAAAAGATCAAAATCTACCTCTAGATTAGTCAAGAAACTAATACAGCCCAAAACAAAAATTACTGCACCTCTTTTAATAATGTTTTTTACATTTTTATTTGGAATAGGAATTTGTAAAGTTTAATTTACCTGCCACTTTTGTGTATTGTAATAGTACGCTTCTCAAAGGGACCTTGTGAAGGACTGTTTTTATCTCGGGTTCTCTTCTGTGCACTGGATATACTACAGTATTTTGCACACAAGCGGGATGTCAGTGTCAGAATTGCATCATATAAGTATCTCTCTTGATTGTCTGTAGGAATGATCCACAGAAAAAATGGTGCCTCTGAGCTTTTGTTTCATGTATACTTTAGCAATAGAAGTCAAAAGGGAGAGGGGATTTGTAGTTTTCACTTTTACTGTCAGTGCAATTTACCATATACATTGCAATACACAAAACTTGCTTATTTCAAAGTGATTTTCTTATTTTATTGCATTTTAATAATACAAAAAGACAGGACTACTTTGTTTGTGTCAGTTCTCATGTTCTGTTTCTCTTCTAGGCAATGGCTTAAATCTGAAGACATTCAAAGAATATCACTTCTTTTCTATAATAAGACTCTGGAAAAAGAAGTAAGTTGTTTTCACTGCAAGTTCACAGTTTGCCTCATCCTAAGTGAGGCTTATATCCTTTGCTTTTGTTAACACAGAGTTGTGGCCACAGCACCTCCCATGCAGGGAGAAAGTGCTCAAATCTTATAATAATATTCTAGCTCATTTACAGAAGAAATTTTATGGGTGTGATATCTGAGCTTGCTTTCCTGTTTGTAGGACTGGACAGTTCACTTGAATTTCTTGAAATTCTCATGGTCTTGCAGAACTGGGAAGGAGGTTTGATAGTCCAAATCTAGTATAACTGAAGCAAAGAATTCCTAAGTTCCATCACCTACATCTTCAAAAGGCATTTATCAAACTGAATATCAAAAAAATCCATTTTTTCTTTTGCTGTGTCTCAAAGACTCCACCTGTAGTAATGATAGTCTTGTAATCATATCAGTTGCTCGTTAGTTTTGTCCATGTGCACTTGATGCTCACAGTCATTTGGGAGAAACAATACTGTAAATATTTTTTAAGAAAAATGCTTAGCTGTCTTGGATGCAGTACACTGAATGTTCTTCTGACTAATATGCATGATAAATCACGTTTGAGACATATGTACAGCTGGAGCAAATGATGTTGTTTCTAGTCCTTGAAGTAATGATCAGAGTGGAAGATTCCTCCCTTGTAGGTAACTTTCATGACAATTAGCCTAGAAAGTCGGACCTTTTGTTTGTTTTATGGCCTTGTAGAGCTTGTGTGTATTTCTACATACTGACACAGCTTCATCAGGAAGACCGGAGAGTTGCCTCCTTCTGCTTTCTCATAAGCATAGGGCAGCTGATAGCTAAACAGTTGCTGTCCTTCAGGGAAATAGGAGTTAGATTTGACCACTTCAATGAGCAAACCTAATGAGAACGGGGTAGAGAAAGTATTACCACACTGTGTTCACACTGTATAGCGTAGGTGCAGGTATCCTCTGGGTCTCATGTGGCGGTCAAATGCATATTTAATTATTTTTGTAGATGTTTTTCAGTTCAAAGCATCTGAAAATTTTCAGATTCTTTCACAGCTCAGCAGAATAGTGTTCTTATGGCCAGCTGCCAGAGACGTGGTGAAAAAGTGTTGAGGCTGTTTAGAGATGTCATAAGAGAGAAGCAGCTAAATCTGATGTGGTCTCATCTATAATGTTTAAAGAGTACACTGAGTGGATCAAAGGTGTGCACATCCAGGTTTTAATGTGGGTGGTACTAACTGATAAATTCTGAAAGAGAACTTGAGAGAAAACTGTCATATGTACACTTTGGACAATCAGGGAATCAGAGTTTGGGAGAAAATCAGGGAGCTAAGTTATTTGGCTGTGTAGAATCATACAACCATACAATCACAGAATCATAGAATAGTTCGGGTTGTAAGGGACTTTTAAAGATCATCTAGTCCAACTTCCTCTGCAATGAGCAGGGACATCTTCAACTAGATCAGGTTGCTCCTTGTAGGATTTTTATCTGGTTTAGACTGTAGAATGCTATGGAACAGCAAAGAACTAATTGTTCTTTTCAGATCCGTCTTTTTAATGTCTTTCTTCACTGCCTTTTAATGACTCACCAGTTCAGTCTTGACTTTAAAGAACTCAGTAAGAAGCCTGCCTTTGATTTAAACAGGAGCTTTTCAGGCCTTGTAGGACCTGAAAGTACAGCAAGGTAATAAAGCAAAATAGTTATTTAACCTAAGGAGTGAGTTGACCAACGTCGTTGGGAAATGTCTGGAGAAGTGTGAAACATTGAAATGAATTTACAAGTGGGTTGGAATTTTTTGATATTTTAACAGTAGCTCAAGGTCCAAGACTGTTGGACAAGACCATTAGGATACAATGAACATATTCAACAGGTGGAAGAACAAAACTTGCTGCAAACATACCCATTGAGCAAAGTCATATAAAGTTTGGTGCACCAGTTTCAAGGGCAGAACTTGGCACTAAGCACAAAGACACAGCTGTGTGCTAGCAGTTAGAAAGCACAGTTCATGCACTTTCTATTTTATGAGGTTTTAATTTTGAGCACTTTTTGAAAATAATCTTTGATACATTTTCTTTTAATAATCAAATCTTAAACTATTACCCTTTGAAAAAACTTTGATGGGATAAGATACTTTAGTAGACCAATACTTAGGTCATTTCCCTCTGAGTACTTGATCGGTTTCAATCTAGACATATCTATCTCAAATAAAAGAACAATTATGATAAATATTTCATTGCTTAATTCTTATGTCTCTAGACAAGCTAATTAGAAGTTCATAAATGGATTATTTTCATGACAAAACAGATCAAATGGACTGTCTCCTAAGAATATAAAGTGTTTAGTAGTATCAGTGGACGTATGAGGCCTTTTAACACACATAAAATATTTTAATTGAAGTAATACTATAGCCCAAGTAAATATCGATACGATTGCTAGCTATGCAATAGAACGTTTATACACATCTGTAGCACAGTTTACATTTTCCTGCTTTGTGTGCTCAGAAGTTTCCTGTCTAAATTTTACAGGTTTTATAACTGTTTCAGCTCATTCAGTATTTATTAGTAACTGAAAATCAGTTTGGGGAATTATTGACTGAGAGACATGGAACTGACTAAGAATGGTCGGCCATTCCCAGAATTATTTAATATGCTTTCACTTTTTTTTGTTTTAATTAAACTTTTTATGATGAATTTGGGATAGTCCTGTTCAGCAGAGGAACAAAACAAAACCATTTGACATGACTATTTAAGCTGTTCTTCAAGAAGTAAAAGATTTCAATATTATATGTGATAATCCCTATATGAGTGGATGTGGAAGTCATTGAACAACAGAAAGCTTATTGTTGGAAGAATTCCTGTACATACCAGCATCTTTAAGCTGAAATTTCAGTTGGGTGATATTTTTTTTACTTTGGAAATTGTGTTTTTTAACATTTGTTTTGTTTTTTTCTTCTAGTATCGAGCAACTACTCTGCCTGCATTTAAGTATTATGTGACTTGTGCCTGTCTCATATTCTTCTGCATTTTTGTTGTACAGATTCTGGTGTTGCCAAAGTAAGTGGCATTTAACATGTACTCATTCCTATGTGTATTTGCTCATTAATGCAAAAAATAAAAATGTATAAGTAAAAAATTTTGGAATTGTCAGATTACAGAGGTCAATTCATTGATATGAAATTGAACAGAGAAGATTGAGGATTTTAGCCCATTTTTGAAGTTGTACTTATTTCTAGTTTTAAATGCTGTTGTAGCATGATGCCAAGTGTTAATATCAGTTCTCCATTAAGTTTAGTTTTTCTCCTTGCATATAAAAATGTGTGATGATTACAGGAATGAAATTCATATGTGTAAAAATAAAGTAATACAAGCTATAAGTTTGTGCAACTAAATTACATGTAAAATAAGCGTGACAATAAGACATTAAAGTGGGACAAAATATATTTCAGAATTGGGACTGTGATTAAATAAATGCATTCAGCGTATTACTGAGATGATACTGCTCTATTCAGCATGCAAATAGAGCAGTAGTATTCATAAAAATTCTCTTTTTAAAACTAATTTCAAAATATTATAATCAATTACTGGAATAATTATTTTTGTCAGAATTTATATATTATGAGATAATTTATCTTTGTGCATATGTATCAACTATCTTTCTATGTGTGCACATTCTAGAAAGATTGAGAAAACTGGAAGACAGTTCCAATAATGAATATTTCATTAGACTACTTAAAATGGAATTTTACTGTTGATCTTTCACATAGTGGAAAGTTGGTATTTGTTTTAAGCAATTGTTTCCAAAGCCAACACTGAATATTCCCCGTGATACAGTATTTCTTCACTCAGTCTTTTCTCCTGTGCAGCACTCTCAGGAGTAGTTTTTGTAAACTCACTTGATTGATCGGTCTTGTGCTCTAGTACTTACTCATATTTTAATTAAAAGCCAGAAGGAACTGTTAGGTTATTATAAATTGACTTTCCCTATTATAGACTCGTTTTATAACATGTATAAATTTTTATATACTTCTATTCAGATGTTACAACGTTTTCTTTGCAAAGAGTTTCCCAGCTAGTTTCTAACAAGCCGCAAAGGGACACTCTTCCAAGAGTTCAGCAGTATCCTGCACATGGTGCAGTCTGACTTTAGGCATTGCTGTTGCAAAATACAAAATTAAGAGTCATGACTAATTTTATTTGTCATTTTGCATAATGAGTATATTTTACGAGCTCATACTGTATTTTGATTGGTACAGGAATTAATTCAGGGAAATTCATGGTTTGTGATACATCGAAAACCAAACTCGGATCTAACTAGTCCCTTCCAGCGGTATGATTTATGAATCTGTTTTTATGTTTGGATTTCAGCCATGAAAATGAATCTCAATATCACCTATCAGACATATTGTTGAGATGCTTATTTTGCTATATCCTTATTATGTCTCTTAAACCAAATGGGTAGCTCATTAAAATATATCAGATACTTGAAATCAGTGAACTCTAGAGAGCTATATTCAACTAGAGGAAAGTGTCCTCCAACTTGTAAAAGCATATGCTTATATTACATGATCTATTTCTAACATCAGAGCAGAAGATACATACGGTTTATCATTTTTATTACAAAAATGTAAATTACCTTTTGGTCCTTTTATAAGGCTGCATATTAAATTGTAAAAGCAAGACTGTAAAATCAGATATTACCAACATGAATAGTATTGAGCTTCAGGGGATCTGTGAATTAATTTAAGAGAGGTAAGAATAGAAAACAGAAAGGCAAAGTATTACATAGACATCTACACCTTTGCTGGAAAACCGAGAGCATTGCAAATTAAAAAAAAAGAAGCTGAAAACTCACCAGTGTATGTAGTCATCACAAATGTAGCTTATATTGAACATACTCCAGTGCTGCAAGTGTTATTTCCCTCCAGCAAAAAATAAATAAATAAAAAATAAAGAAATCATCGTTTAGTCTAAAATTCTATCTAGCCTTTTTCTTTTCCTCCAAAAATTCTACAGGACTTTTAAATGCTGATCTAATGAATATAGGGAGATAAACTGCATCTGTCATTGGATTTTATTGATTCATTTTGCCATTAATCTGATTTTGCAGCAGTGTAATATCATTGATTTCTATGCAGGCACACTACCTGCTGCTTTAAAGTGGATTTAGTGATATTTGATGATGAGTAACATCCAGCAAGTTGCAAGTAATAAGTAATATCTCCAAGATCAGGAGACATTTATTCTAAAGCTGAAATAATTTATTAATGTTTTCATTTTCCTGGGGTCAATAAACTGATGTGGTGTTTTCATAATGAACTTTATGCAAAGTGGTAAATGTAAATATAATCAAGTAAATAGTATCTTGGGGTGAAATGTATAATGAGGAGTAGGTCTTTATTGTGTCATTAAAATGACAGCAAATCTTGATCATTAAATTTCCTCAGAATAGGCCTTCAGTGGCTCTCTGGCATTCTTGGTTTACCAAGTGACAGAGGTATCGCTAGTAAATCATGACAACCCTACGTTCTTTATTTAAGGAAACAGTTAACTAACATGGAACTGGTAGTGTTCTTTTTTAAAAGGTGAACTGGTGAATTGACGAAAGTCTATTCCTATTGAACAGGAGTTACTTCTTGTGCTATTTGAATAAGGGATTGGTTTGGATCTACATTTAAGGGTCTTCCCAGGTCTTCGCTCTCTGAGGCTGCTGTGCTCAACAAATTGTATTCTTTTGTCCTGAGTCATGCCAAAATAACAATCAACTTGTTCTATATGTGGAAGGTGGTTAGGAGGCCTTAACGTAATATTTCCAGTCAGGCACAGCTGAATTTCTTCATAGCAAAGGTAGTACTTAAAAAGTTTGTCTGAAAGCAAGCAGGTGTGTAAAATATAAGACATTATAAATGAAAGAAAACTGCCATTGCTAGATACTTTTCTGCTGTATTCTATTTAAAAAAAAAAACAGACTCAAGTGGGGTTATAATACTAAAATTATTTTTCTTAACACTGAATCTGCCATACAGTTAGTCTACGTAGTCCTTGAATCCATCGATGGCTTAGTGAAAGCATCAGTCTAATCAAGAAAGAAATAGCTACTATTAGATACCAAAAAAGTCTGAATTCAGCATTGCCTTGTATAATTGTCATTTGTAATTGCTTCATAATGATTTTATCACCTCGAGAGAATTTGCAATCAAATAGTTCAAAACATGACTGTTAATTACTGGGCAAGCTAAGGAAATTCTCTACATCCCATTAAGGGATATGTGCCATAAGTCACATATTTTCCTAAAAGTTACAAAAATGTAGAACGAATACATTATCTTCTCCATTGTTCAGTATCTTTATCTTCAAAATAATTTTTTATTTTTCAGTCAAAATGTTATCAACAAGAAAGACACAAGTATGTATAAATACAATTTTTTTTCCAATCTCATATCACCTGATAAAAAATAATTATTCAAAATAGATATTTACTGATGAAACCAGAAGAATATGAGAAGTCTTCTTTTCTTCTTCTACAAGGATGCACTCCAAACTTAATTCATAAGACTGTTCTGTGTTGAATCATTTCTTAAGATTCTGTTGAATCACGCAGGCTCCTTCTTTGTGTCCTTCATATCAGAGAAAGAATAACAGTAGTCTGAAACATAGGAATGGTTCCTTGAATCTCATTGAAATATATGATTGGAAGTGTATATGTACATATGAAAAATTAGTCTGTAGATTATATTCCTTTTCTTTTAGCTCTTCTATTGCTTACTAGATTTTAAATTCCTAGTTGTAGAGACCGTAGTTTTACCTATGCTGATGTGCAGCTTATTGTCTCAGTCTCAATGAGAAATTCCTGGAGAACATGTATTCATAAGCAATAATGATTTTCAAATAATTTCTAAAAGAAGCATTATTTCAAGATTAATATATATTGTGAATTGCCAATTGCCAGTTGTTTTTTTCATCAGCTGTTCATATCAACCCAAAATCTGATGAATACTTAGCATATTAAGAGGTTCTCTGAATGATGGGTAGGGAAGCTCATAAATTTTTCTCCAAAATACTTTTAATGGCAGCAATATGGCATCACATTGGTTTGTGAAGTTAATGCTTTTTCGTTCTTTCCTGAAAATAGCTTCTATAACACTGTTGTTGAAAAAGATCAAAATGTTTTCCAGTATTTGTACGTAATCAAAGGAAATTGATCCATAGAGTTCTACTCCTTAAATTTCTAGTGTTATATTTTCTAAAATGTATGTTTTTGAATTCAAATTGCATCTTTAAAGAACATAATTGTGTGCTTTTATTAATAATGTGTTTTAATTCTGAATCATATGTTTATGGAGGAGCAAACTGTAATGTAACTGTAAATGTCACATTTATTATGGTTTTGTGTAAAAAGCAATGGATATAAAACTTATTTCTAAAACATCATGCCAATATTTCTACAATATAGGGTTTCATAAAATAAGATATTTGCTGGTGCTTCAAAGAGTTGAGAGATATTTTTTCATACTGTAAAAATGTCAAATCTGTAGTTAAAACTGAAAGCAGACGCTCAGGTGAGGGACTTCATAACACCATCTAGTTCCCTTGCTTAAACAACTCCGTTAGTCCAGAGCTTCTGATCTCCTCTTGGCATTCATTAAACATAATTAGGTCCCACTGCATCTTTCCATAGGCAGCCGTGCTAAGTAGCTCTTATATGGTGCCTGATGGAGCAATTATGCTCTGCTGTGGTATTCATATAGAGATTTCCACATTTGTGGAATAAATGCATGCATGGATTGTTTCTGCATCCCTGTTTCAATTTACTGAGTATCCAGTGATGCCATTTTGGCTAGACTTTCCTATTTATAACACACAAGAAGAGGGTGAGCTAGAATGCTGAATAACAGTGATTTCAGGAAGAGTTTAGATGACTCAGTTTTATTTCATTTAAAGTCTGTTGTTGTTTTTTCTCTTTTCTTCATGGTGTTTAGTTTTCTTTCCTATCTCGTCCTCTGATACATCAGAATCTACTAGCCAGCCAGTCAAGTTTGATATAAAATAGAGTTTTCAGAGGTGTCGAAGTTATAGCAGTCACTATATTAGGGCCCTTGCTGACTGAGAGGCTGCAGCATCACAGATATGACAGGTTCTAGCTGTGAGACACTGAAAACTGGACATCACTGTCCCATGCTATTGCTTTTCCTACCTTTGGAGGGGAACATACACTACCAACAATTTTATTTTGTATTATGTATTAGACTCTTAAATTATAACATCCATAGCATAAAAATAAAGCAAGAAGGATCTTCTTTAATATAGGCTCTCTGAAGTAAAAACAAACCGACAGTAAACATTGCTGCTCTTAATGCTCTCTGTCATTTAAATTATTTGTGTTGGTAATTACTATCTTCTCATGGTAATAGTTTTGCAAAGTGAGAGGTAAAGCAAATTCAAGCATTCCTGTGTTAAGAAAATGGCAGGGAATAGGCCTGTCATTCTGGTAAGGACTGGAATTGTTTTGCCATGGTATTTGGAAGTTGCAACTTGCACATGGTAACTTTTCGTATCATCAGTATTATAGAAAAAGAAAGGTCATGCGACAAATGTGTAACAGAAATTAATACATGTTTTCTTATTTCTTTTAGAACATCTATTCTTGGAATTTCATTTGGGGCTGCATTTCTCTTGCTTTCCTTCATTTTGTTTATCTGCTTTGCCGGACAGCTTTTGGTAGGTATTCAAGGAAATTTAATCCAGTAGTTAATGGATTCTTTTAAATAACATGTTCTGTTTGCCAAGTCACTTTTCCTTTGCAGAATACCAGTTAAATGAGAAAGGCTTGCAAACGCTCAGGCTTCCCAGGACATTGTTTTGTCCATGTTAGCTTACTATAAAATGTACTAATTTATCTGAAAAACAGAACATGCCAGTGCAGTGACTGTAACTACACTGATGTCCTTTTTCCCCCCATGTGAAACTGGATCCTCTGAGAGGTTTGCATTATCGTTTGATTAATTGTCTTTTCAAAATTTTTTGCTGTTGTGCTTACAGGAGGTGGCTCATCTTATGAGCACTTTAATTTAGGAGACTGTGTATTTGTTTAAGTATTGTATAAGACCATTTTCTGAGTTTAAAGAATGTTTCATGGTAATTCAATTTGATCTATAAAAATTTTACAGTAAAATTCTAGTTTTGCCATTGAGCGGTCCAGGTGTTATTGTAATAATGCCTATTAGTGTACCCATTAATATGCTGAATTTGAGAATTTAATTTAATTCAAAATTCAGGCAAACCTTTCAGCATTTTACAGTATAATTTACAAGTATTATTATCCTCCTTTAAATCATTCTTAAATAGATCCAACTTATAACTCCGTCTAAAACAAGATATTTCAGGATTTGTAGGAAAGTGAATGCAATTTGATTTTGACCTGTAATCTAGAATAAAACTATCTGTGTACTTGTCACTTAATCCCAACTTCTCCTTCTCTATCTTTGCATTTTTCCACAAGCTCCCATGGAGAAAGCTGAGAGAAAGATCTTTTATAAAAAAGCAAAACATGCACATGGGAAAGACAATCGTATCTCTCACTGTGCAGTTAAAACAGTAGGAAAAGGTAGCCTGGCAGTTGAAGCAAGAAACAGAGGAAGTGGGATTTTATAATTTCTCTCTCGTCCCTTGTGAGGCTTGTAATTAACTAGGACATGTTTTTAAGAAAATGTAATTAATCTACATTTCAGTTTTCTTTCCAATAAGATAGGGATGCTGCCACTGCTTAGGAATTAATCTGAGATACAATACAACAGTATTTTTAAATATTTTAAATCCTTGGAGTGAGGTCCTAGAGGTATTACTGTTACTTAACAGCAAAAATTTGTTCTCATGTAATGTCATGCTTGATTGCTTGTTTTTATCGACATAAGAATAAAATGATGGACTCAGAGCACTGCTGTTGAGTAAGCAAATTTTAAAAAATATCCTTCAAGGAAAAGCCAGCTTTCTTCCTGTAGGAAAAAGAGATGTCAAAGAAATGGTATCAAGAAGTACTGGGACATACTGGGGCTTTTATTTATAATGCAGCTTAGGAGGAATACAAACATATGTTTCTGCATTTAAAGGGATGGCTAAGGAAATAACCCAAGTCAGAGTTGAGCAGTTGTGCCACTTGAATATCTAAAACCTACTTTCAGTGTCCTTTTTCCTGTGTCTTGTATGTACTGTAAATACTTCCCAGAAGTAGAGCTCTATTATTGCATTTCTGTTGACTCGTGAGATGTAAATAGCTTGGAGAGGAGCTATTTATGTCTGTCTTTATGAGTTCAGCTGCTCTAATGCAGAAGCTATGCTACTTGGAAGCATTTCAACAAGTAAGTTATGAACATAGTTGATGCAGCGCTCTCTTTCCTTCACAAGCATGGACGTAGTTCTGTAAGGTGATGGATGAGAGGCAACTAGCAAAAGAGATGGTAGGTTTATCATTCCCGTCTTCTCCCTAAGATTTCTTCTTTCATGTCAAAATCCAAGTATTGTTTTGCAGCTTTAACACAGTGACACCCTATGTTATGTTTCAGTACCATATCCATTGCAGTATCTGACCCATAACTGTAAACTCATTATTTCTAGAAGAAAAAGCCTGAAATTCTCAAGTGAACAAGTATCAACATCTGAGTTTTAACACCATAGTTCAGTGTCAACAGAAATCAAGGTTTATTGTCCTAATCTCTATTGAGTTTGAGGGTTTTTTTTTCCAGTATGAGTTTCTCCCACCTCTTTTTCTAAAGGGGTATATTTTGAATTCCCTTGCAGAATGTATGTAATAAATGTGAATGTGTTTGTGTGTACACACACCTGCAAGTAATTACAGAGTTAAAATCATCAAATATTTCTCTTTTAAAAACACACAGAAAAATAAGATAATTTTTTGTGCCTGACTGACCCTGACAGGTGAACTGTGCTGGGTTAGCCTTGGCTATGGGCCAGGCACCCTCTCTACCTCCTCAGCGGGATGGGGGAGGAAAATAGGATAAGAAAGCTTATGGGTTGAGAGGAAGGCCGGGAGATCACTTACCAGTTACTGTCACAGACAAAGCAGACTCAACTTGGGGAAAACTAATTTAATTTATCACCAATTAAAATAGATTTGGGTAGTAGGAAACAAAAACAAACATTAAAGCCACACCATTCCTCCCCGCTGTCCCAAACTCAGCTTCACTACTTTGCTCCAGACTCTTCTACCTGCCCCCAGGCAGTACAAGTTGGGGTGGAAAGTGGTCAGTACATAAATATTTCTCTCTGCTGCTTCTTCCCTTCACACTTTTGCCCTGCTCCAGTGTGGGGTCTCCCCAGATTGCTGTTCCTTCAGGAACATCCACCTGCTCCAATATGGGTCCTCTGCGGTCTGCAGTGTGGACATCTGCTCCAGTGTGGAGTGCCTCTTCCTTCTCTCCTCCAACCTTGGTGTTCCCTCTGCCATTTCTCACTCTTTTTCTTCCCTTCTTTTCTCTCTGCCCAGTTTTCTGCCCTTTCTGACACAGGCTTTTCCTGAGGCACCCACCCGTGGCTGAGCTGCTCAGCTGTCCCTGTGGTGGAGCCTTTGGAGCCAGCTGGAATCGCAGGTGCCACCCCTGCAGACCGCCCCACCAACCCGGACCCCTGCACCTGGTACATAAACTTGCAGTAGCAGTCAAATATTTAGGTGACTGTCACGAGATTTATAGAGCAGGACCTGTAGTGCCAGCAAAGACGGCAAAATCTAAGTTCAGGTTAGGAGACCTGGCTGTCACTGCAGTACATGCTTGTTTCAGAACTTTTGACACTTTGTCCTCCTGGTTTCCACCGTTTCGAAATGGCTGTCACCACCACGGAGTAAGTCACATAGCAACTGTCTTTGAACGAGTCTCCCTGTATGATTTTTGTTTCATTGGTAAATTAAAAAACCCCCAAACATCCAGAGTATAATGCTAAAATTACTAGCTCTTATGGAATTTAATTGCAGTATTGTGAGAAAAGATTTATGCTCGCTCTTGCACTCTGAGTTTATTATTAGTTGGTTTTACTGTTTGGCAGCGCTGCGGCATGGTCCAGCTCAGTCTGTTGTGGAGCGATATTATCAGCCATTAAATAAGAATTTTTCTGTGAACCGATGAGGCAGAGCGGTAGCAGGAATAGCCAGGTTACAGACTTGCAGCGCCTGCCTTTGCGGTGTGTCATTCCCTGCCGGTCTTGGGCAACCGGGCCGAGGGCAGGGAGGGCTGATGGTTCTTGTGGAAACAGGCTTTTGCCCATAGGCATTAAACCTTCATCAGTCCTAGCTACAATTGGCATATGTCCTGAAATTTGAAGTAGATTTACATCTTTATATTCTAATTACATCTTCGTGTCTATGCGCTTTTTTCCCCCGCTTTTTTAGGTAATCACAGTGTTCAGAGTTAAACCTTAAGATTATTAGTATTTTGGGTCTTAAAATCCTTTTTGGCTTGTATTTTCATATTTTAAGTGTAGGCTGTTATTTTTATTCATTTTGAGTATTTTCTTTGAATTTTCTTTGAGAGATTTCTTTCCCAAATTACATGCAGATAGAGGACAGTGATTGTCCTTTAGCTCATATATTTTCTGTGGCTCTTCTCTTTATCTTCTTGAAGTATAGATGAGTTCACAGAATGAGTGTGAAATGCCTCAGACCTGGTGACTGTTAGATGTGTTTTACCTCCTGATGCGAATGCAAGGAAGCGGAGATCTGGCTACCTAAATGGTACATTGGAAAATGTAATACAATCAATAGAAAAAAAACCACAGTAAGCATTTAAGGGAAAGTTCCCTCTAGTAGCTGAGGTAGCTGTCTGAAGAAGTATTAATCTGAAGCAGATACTTGTTGTGCCTTGATTCAAATACTATCTCAAAAATTTCTTTGCACTACCTGGGACATGCATGCACTTAATTGATAACACTTTGTGCCAGTTATTTTCCATTAATATGAAACTACTTTTTTTGCATATGTTTATACCTTGCAAACCTATTTAGCTACTTCAGCTAACAAGGAAAAGAAAATTAGAAGTGAAAACATGTCTTCCTCTTATCTCATCTGAACATGTTTATCATCTATCTTAAATACTCGATTGAACCGTGGAATTAGCAGAACACAGCACCAACAAAACAAACATCGGAAAATAACTGGCTCCACAGTTGAAAGATGCTCTGATTTGAGGTCTCTGGAGCATCTAACAAAGTGCAGCCGGTATGTGAGCAGTCCCGTCCCTGCTAGAAGACGTGACGTTATTTATTAGTTGTATTACACCACAGCACTGTACAGAGAGTGACACGCAATCTTTACCTTTGTTTTCAGGGATTTGTATTTTACTCTAAAGCAATTGGCATCGATCCGTAACAGTCAGAAAGACTATGTAGGCTTAAGATACTTAAAAGCTCTGCAAGGACAGGTGTATCAGTACCAGCACTACTTGAAAATTATTTTCAACTTGGAATCTTACCTCTGATATGAGTGTGTTTCTTAATGCAGATATGGATGGAAGATTGAGGCCCTTCACTTTCTTGAGTTATATGTTTATGATGACATGCTATGTGGTTGTGACCAACCGAAGAAGTTGCCTGACTTGGTGAAAACCACAAGTTTCTTATGTCTGTTGTGCCAATAAGTTCTCTTAATATTTTTTGATGAGTGAGACTATCTTGAATTTTTTTAAAATCCGGCAATGCTCCTTTTAGTATCTTTG